AGAGTAACTGGTGAGAACTGCCCAGAGGCCAGCAAGCCTTGTGGGAGGGGCCTTTCTTCCCTGTGCCCAGCTCTCAGGTACTAGAGGAAGCAGTTTCTAGAGTCTTTGTGACTCAGGAAGGCTGAGAGCCACATAGAAGGGGGAGCTCACCTTTTGACACCTTCAGGTAGATGTTTCTGAGAATAAAGATCGTTCTGCGATTTTCAGCGACCCCACAGAAATAAGGACCCGAGTCTCTCACCGTGAGTGCAGTCATGGTGACAGTGAAGAATTGATAATCAGGATAGTCCCAGATGGAGAATTTTGACTGCTGAGCATCTGTGCTGAGACTGGACACTAACAGTTTACAATTTTTTTCTCGTGTTTCCTGACACCACACTTTCTCCTTGAAGCGTTGCCTGGGATCATACCAGCATCTCACCAAAACGGTGTTGCCCTCCACTGTTGGAAGTAACTCTGTGTTCTGTGTCCAGGAACCTGAGAATACACCCTTTAGTTAGAGAGCCCCCCAGCCTCCACAGCAGGGCTAGGAGATGGGTTCATTTCTCAGGGAATGACACTCTTTGTGTCTATGCTCGGGATGTAGTTTAGAGCCAGCCATTGGCCACAGCACTCCATGTATTCTGCATTCCCAACCATAGAGCCCATCTGTGCTCACCTCCCAACCCCTGCCCTTTCCTCTCCCCGGTTCCTTCCCTCTGTCCTCACCTGAGGCCAGGAGCACCAGCAGGATGGGGGACAGCAGGCATGTGGCCTCCCAGGCCATAGGTCCTCTTCTCAGCTGGGATGGGGCAGGAAGGGAAGGACTAGGGATGCTCTGAGGAGAAGAGACCAGGGCAGGGCAGGATCCAGGCAGCCACCATAGCCAGTGTGGGATGAATTGCCGAGGAAGCAGAGACCTCCGTGGACAAGAGGGAAGCTGAGCAAGGCCCGTGTGGCCCTGTGGATCCTCCAGCCACAGGCTTTGTAGCTAGGCTCCTGAACTGCACTAGATAAAGGCTTACAGAGAAACTGTAGTCTCCTGACTCACAAGACGGAGTGAGGAAAGCTGAGAAAGCCCAGGAAGAAACCACAGTGAAGTAAGAGTGTGCTTGTTTCTCCCCAGCAACACCCACAATTCCCCACTTCCTCTTTAGCCCCAGGTTTCTGTTCTCCACCCAAGTCTGGCTCTCACTGAAAGCAGGTGTCAGAACCAGAGGCCCTTTGGAGACCTGGCTAGAACTCTAAGGCCAGCTTGCCCTCAGGGGTCAGAACCTCGTTGACTGGCCCACCTGGGAACTGGAAAGTTCCATGTGGACTAGAGGGGATGAGAAGGGGGTAGACATTCATTCTCAGGAATGGAAGAGCAAGGGGGGTTCTGATAAGTTTGGGAGACAACAAAGTTGGGTATGAAGGAAGAGAGCTCGGATGGAGGGAAGAGAAAGGGGAGCCCCTGGCCCCATATCACCCCCAGATGCCCAGCTTCCCAACATGCCACACTCACTGCTAAGCATCACTTGAAAGACTGTACTCACCAAACACTTTTCAAAAATAACTGT